TGTATGTGCAAATTTCTCAATCTGTCTACTTGCAATAGTTTGACTCTTTTTCTTGCAGCGCGCATCGTGGTATAACCCTGGCGAAATCGACCACACAGTTCGCTTGATTGTTGCACTGCTCTCGGAATCCGCGTCCTGCACACCGCCGCTCCATGCTGCCGAAATCGGTGTGATGGCTGCCTTCCGCGAGCAAGTGTGGAAGATTCGTGAGCGGTTGAGGAAAGCGGGGCTGAGTGCCGTTGATGTTGGCACTGTCGAAGACTATCAGGGCCGGGAGATGCGTGTTTGCATCATTTCGTGCGTGCGTAGCAGTACGCGTTTCCTCAAAGACGATTTGGCTCGAGGGCTGGGGCTCGTACGGGAGCGGAAGAGGTATGTGTGTTTGGGCATGTTATTCGCGCCGTTGCTGACGGGCCGCCTCAAGAATGAACGTGGCCATTACTCGCGCAAAGGAGCTTCTGGTCGTCGTTGGAAATGGATCCATACTCAAGCAGGATCCATTTTGGAGGAATTTTTTGCAGTTCATGCTCAGGAATAAGCTGTGAGTCGTCGCCTGTGCACTTGCGTTTCCGATGGCTGAGCACTTGATGCGTCTAGGTATGTCGGACCTGCACTGGACCTGGAACTCGATGGAAATTATATTTCGAGACTCGAGTGAGTGCTCGTTTCACGGTGTTCAGACCCGGCACAGCAATGTTTATACGATCCAGATCGGCATTGGTTTCTGAGGAGGATTTGGACGAGGAGGAGCGCGGGGTGGCGATTGCGGGGGGCATGGCCAGGGAAATCCTGAAGGATGAACTTTAGCAACAGAGCATCTCCCGTAGCATAGTCGGATCGCTGGTTCCAGAACGATCTGAGAATGTGATCATCCTGCTCGCCGTTGATTTCTCACGGTCCATCATCCAATTGTGATCTATGCTCTCAGAAGGATTATCAGACACGGCTCTGACCTATCAGGTATCAGGAAGTCACTAGCACTCTGTCCCGTGAATTGACAAAGCAAATGCCCCGAAATCTGATTTGCCACGGTTCATCGTGCTTGCACGCCAAAACTGTACCGCCGCTGGTTTGTTTCCATTTATTTCCAAATGGTCGTCATTGATATGCGAGCTCTTCGAGTCGTCTGTACCAGTTCGAGCGAGACGGGTCAGTTCGTGTTCTATACCACAATAATACTCAGCATTGTGGAAGTAACATCTCGTGCTCATTGGCGGGGTCCCACCGAGGCGATTTTACTGAGGGCGGTAAAGTGAGGACCTTTCGAAACGTCATCAGGACAAACGTCACCTTCGTGTCTCTCATTCGGGAATGGAGATCAGCACTGCAGGTAGTACAGGGAGGGCCAGGTGATGTCATCAGTCGATTGAAATGAGCACGAGGCTGGGACAGTTTCAAAGGTGCGAACGGCAAAAGTGATTCGACCCAGGTTCGAACTGAGGACCGCCTGTGAACAACTCGGAGACAAGTTCCAAATGTTAGACAGAAGTGATAACCAACTACACCATCGAACCGACGGGAAAATGGGTCCTGGAAAGAACTAGAACAAGCTTAACATATTTGAGACAGTCATCCTGAATGCACTGATGTGATGGAGGGAACAATCTACGTCCTCGAAACACCTTGGATGACGGATGCACTGCGAGGTGGCACGGTACATTATGGGATATCCCCAATTCTATGTCTAAAGGTCTATATTCTAAGCTGAAACACGGGAGAAGAAAGCGGCTGCACGGATGCGAATTTAAGTGATTCGAACGCAGGGTCATCCAATGTGCGCACCAAAATTATGATACAGAAAGCAAGGCGTCAGTTGATAACCTGACAGCGAATCCTTGACGCAACCTGTAATCAGGACAGGGGCCTTCGCATTCCACCGATAAAAGATCGGTGAACGTTTTCCTTGTCGAAGAATCGCAACCGCTGCAACTCTTTTATGCGTTTTGGCGTTGGCTTCGCGATGTAATGCGGCTCCTGAGGAAGCAACGAAGAGAACGGTTCTCGAGCAGGCGACGGCAGCGGCTGGCTCCTAGTGGACGTGCTGGCGGTGTCTGGCTGAGAAGGTGCGGGAGATGCAAGGATAGTCTCGTCTTCGGCGGTCGGAAGCCATGGCGTCTCTGCCGCATCCGGTTCACCGATCGCAGGTTCCGCAAGGGCCAGGATGTGTCGGAGCGAAGAAGGTCGGATAGAGCACCGCGTTGAGCGATGAACCAGGCGGTCCGCCGTTCGGGCGCTGTGGGGCTCGGCGGAGCGTCTCATGCCAGGGACGATCGCGGGTCGGCCAGCCAGATGACGGTCGCGGTTGAGTCGGTACCTTGAGCCTTGGAGGTGTATGCGGGACTTGTAGGCATTTTCGGCTTGAGGAGTGGCATTGGAGAACCCAAAAGGGCTGTTGGCCTCGAAGACATCCTGCGGAGCATCGGTGGATGGCGGGGTCATCTGGCGACCGAATCAACAAAACGACGAGGGAGGTAGAGCTGCAGGGAAGGCTGACTGACCTCGGCATGCTCGACGAAAAGCTGCTCGATCGAATCCGCATCCTGGTCGGCGCCAGACATGCCGACGGAGCGCCGGTGGATGCGACGACGGAGGGCCTTGGTGGGTGAGAAGCGAGAAAAGATCATGGCAGTTTGAGACGTCACGGTGTGCCGCTGAAGATTGAGAGACAAGGGCAAGAGACCGGAGTTTGGTGTGATAGAGAAATGCAGGATAGTGGTATTATATAGGGTGAAGGCGACCCTATTCAACTCCGAGACAGCAGCGGATGCAAAATATATCATCCTGAAGTCGCGGGCTTTACAGCGCGAATCAGGAGACTATGTGGTGTCTTCTGGCCCATTTTTCAAGAAAGGGAGAGCCGATGTGAGAGGCGTCAGAATCTCAGGCCATTTGTGACAAGATGAAAATCCTTCCGGCAAGTCCCGCAATCACACCGCCACCTCTCCCTGCACAACCTGGCGGACGGTCTCGCACACAAATGAGGGTCGCGATCCAGGGCTGCTGCCACGGTGAGCTCAACACGATCTACGAGCGAATAAACCACCTCGAGACGACCAATGGCTACAAAGTCGACATGCTGCTCATCTGTGGCGACTTCCAGGCCATCCGCAATCACCAGGATCTGCAGTGTATGGCGGTCCCCGACAAGTACAAGGCGCTTGGCGAGTTCCACCAGTACTACACCGGGGAGCGGCAAGCGCCAATCCTGACGCTCGTCATCGGAGGGAACCACGAGGCGTCAAACTACATGTGGGAGCTGTACCATGGCGGGTGGTTGGCGCCGAATATGTATTATCTTGGAGAGGCTGGCTGTGTTCGGGTGAATGGGTTGCGGATCGCTGGCGCGTCGGGAATCTTCAACCGGGGATCATTCAAGCAGGGTGCGCTGATCGTTGATCTTGGTCGACGCGTTTCGCTCATGCCTCTTATGTAGGTCACTACGAGACTGTGCCCTACGACCGGAGTTCGATCCGGAGTGTATACCACACTCGAGAGTACGCCATCCGAAAACTCTCTCTGGTGTGTCTTTCGTGTCCCCTTAGGCCTCCGCTCACAGATCATGTCAAGTAGCTGTCTCCCCACCCGGACGTCGTGCTGTCACACGACTGGCCGCAGTCCATAACCGACCACGGGGACCTGCAGCGGCTTCTCCGGGACAAGTCGTTCTTTGCAGAGGACATCAAGACGGGGAGACTGGGCTCGCCGCCGCTCAGGCATTTGCTCGGCACATTGCAGCCTCGATGGTGGTTCTCCGCTCACCTGCACACGCGCTTCGAGGCGGCAGTGCATCACGGTGGGAAACCGGCACAGCCTGTCGAGCGCGACCCGAACGAGATCGTGATTGAGGATGACGAAGACGACGAGGAAGCGAATCCTCCACCCGCTGCTGATCCCCCGCCTGGAGAACCATCAGAGGCCCAACCGATACCACCTCCCCCACGCGTCACCCGCTTCCTTGCGCTTGACAAATGCGGAGCGAAGCGCAAGTTCCTCGAAGTTGTGGAAATCGAGGACACGGTCCAGGGCCCCGGCCCGCCGAGGCTGACGTTCGACCCTGAGTGGCTAGCGATCTCGCGCGCCTTCCACCCGCTTCTTTCGCTGGACCGCCAGCAGCCCGGTTTCCCCTCGGAAGAACTCGCTCGGAAGCAGGTGGAGGAGGCGCGCGCGGCGATCGTCGCGGAGCTGGCTGCGCGCGAGCCTGGGCTGAGCATCGACGACTTGGAGGTGGGATCGGTGCAGGAGTTCGCGATGACGGCCCCAGGCCCCGGGATGGAGGAGCAGATGGGCGGGCGGAGGTCCCAGCGTGAGTGTGATCCCGCTTCTGCGCGACGTGTGGTTGGTGACTGATTGGCTTCTAGCGGCGTGGTACACCAATGCGCAGACGGTCAAGTTTTGTGAGCTGATTGGGGTCCGCAATGTTGTGAACGCTCCTCCGCGCAGTTCAGTGTCTACTTGAACGGGGTCTTTTGACTCTGTAGTTTTTAAGTATTACCATCTGTGTATCTGGTCTACGTTCCGCCTGAAAGTCATTGCCTCCATCCACTTCGATTGACATGGGGCGCGTCTCGTACAAAAGTCTGCACGTGCTCGTCACTCCCACTGCATCGGGATTCATGCATGTGCAAATACATGTGCCTCATCTGAAGACCGCGTATTTCCTCTCATCGGGCCTGACCGACAGTCGGTCTCTGGATTCCCGGAAAATGCAATGGAAGCGATCATTTCTCGCGTGGGAGACAATCATCAGTTGACGTCAGCGCCTCTGTAGACCTCCGTCTCCGAGAGAACTTTAATAAGACGCTTTGAGATGAAACTGCTGGTATAAAATGCCATAAATAATCTAACGGCGCGATCCATCTCGCGCAGGCATGGCTCAGGAGGTCGTACATCAAGATAAATTGACGTGTGGCTGTGGCGAAACTTGCCCATGCTTGTCTCATCAGTAAATACGTCATCCGGCTCCCTTAGTTTCTGCGGCTCCACTTCTGAACTACCGATGATGACCACAGCCATGCGCAGCTCCGTTATGTATAAAGTATGCCCGTGGTACCTCCGGGACTCAGTCTAAGACACCCACCCCGACACCTGTTGGCTCTGCCTTTGTATCACCAACCCACCCACTGCTCACGATGTTTTCGCTGCATATCGGGACATTCTTGATCTTCTCTGCGATGGCGCTGCTCATCGTGGCGAGCATATCCGCACCGACCTTCAGCCAGATCGACTTCCTCAGTGCTTCTTCCAATAATGGTGCGTGCGTTCTCGACGAGTCTGGCTGTAATTTGACGGACGCGGCAGGGGCGTCTATCCGCTTTGGCACGTTTGGGTTCTGCGTGCTGGACGGACGGGGCGGAAAGAGTTGCACCGCAGCGCAGATCGGGTACCGCATTGGTACGTGCGCACGGTCATCGTTCTTGTGCTTGACCTGACAGCGCGCCGTAGCGAACGAAATCTCGGCGTTGGGCATTAGCCCGTTAAGCGGGGGCCAGGCGTCTACACTGCACGGTGCGACGCAGGCGCTCATTCTGCATCCCATTGCCGCTGGCATTGCCGGCATTGCGTTCTTGCTGGCGCTGTGCTCCCACCGCCTCGGGTATATCGTCGCCGCGTTCGTCGCGTTCATCGCGTTCATCGTGTCGCTGGCTGCGATGATCGTCGACTGGGTCATCTTTGGGGTGCGTCATCTGGCTGGATACTGCCGCTTTGGCTGACGGCGCTGCAGATCGTCAGGCACCATGTTAACAGCAACGGTGGCCAAGCTTCGTTCGAGAACGCGATCTGGATGGTGCTTGCGGCCACGATTGTGCTGCTGCTGGCGTCCATCACGACCTGCTTTGCGTGAGTCTGGCCTGACTGTTCGCTTCGAAAAAGCTCTAACTCTTATGCAGATGTGTTACTGCGCGTCGCCGATCTTCGACGAGGACGACGTACGGGGCAACTATTGATCACGACAAGGAAAGTCATGGAAAACATGGCAATGACTAGGGAGATGTGCGCATGATTTGTTAATGATATTGTATTCATAAGTGTCTGTCAATTACCTACCTACAAATGGACGTTTAAAAACGACGAATCGGCGTACCTCTGTGCGATGCAGAAATGAAGTTATGATCTACATCTGGTCAAGGCCTTGCACACACACCGCGTATAGAGAGCGACAGGGTCGGATGCCCTGGTGTTTGCCCGCGTCCATCTTCTTGTGCGCTATGTATGTCTTACCCGGATGTCCCCTCGTCTCCAAACTTAGCCAATAGAGCTACTTACTCACGGCCAACTGCCTCCTACCCGTCCCGTCACCGGAGGCCATTCTCGGACACAGCGATTTGCGAATCCGGCCATGATATCCCCAAAGGTAGTGTTATCACGGACGCTACGGATGAGGACAACGCAATTCTAGACAGTGCTGCGGCGCTCGCATGATTCGTCTGGACTATTATTCTATGAGTTTCAAGACATTGATAAACGGATTGCGAAACCCCGATGGGAGTCTAAGCAAGGTGCGGAGTCCCCCACGGCTCATTCAGGATATCCCATGGGTGCCGGGATAGCGCTGAATATTCACAGATGGGAGAGACATAATAATGCTGTGAAGACCGCGTCTGGTTTCCACGTGCAGGGAGATCTGAATTCAGACATAGTCTAAATGGGCGAGCTCGGTGGTTCCTTGAAATCACCCCAGTTCGTCCAGTCGAATGTTGGCCATACTTGCCGTTACCGGCAGTAGTCAGGAAGTCTGTCTTCTTGTCTGTACGGAGCCCGAGCTGATGACCCCATCCTGATCACGATCTAATCGGCGAGAGAGATTGCCATATTGAACGAAGAAGAAAAGAGTGAGCGCATTTGATGTACGCGCCTCGCTTGAGTCGATCGCTTCCCGTTTCTCACGGCTCAGGTTTGAGCCATCCTGGCTGGCCCGGACAGCGCAGCCAGGCGACCTTTGAAGTCTTTGCACAACTATCCAAAGTCTTCGAGACTCCGGCGTGTAGCTTTCCTTCGATCCGCCCGTTTTCCTCGAAGCTCAGCTCGCTAACTGAGGAGGATGTTGAAGCCTACGAGAATCTTGATAAACCGAGTCTGGGCGACAGCTTGAGCTCTTCGTCTCGTGAAACGACTCTAACTCGAGTATTCATGGCCGCAGTCAAGAAACGCGTCGACAGGACTGAATAATGATCATCTAAGGGTGAAGCTGGCTCAGTATTTCATACGATTTGATAATTGGGAAGCAGCCTTGGATGTCGCATGGAACTCTACATGGCTGGTGTGAATACTGGGAAGATAATAAAATTTGGGTGTAACTGAGCGAGAATTGAGTGGTGGATTCCCAGTCAAGGCCAACCCGTCTTCGGCTATCATTGATCACGCCTACCATACAATCATGTGATCGCGTTTTAGTGTCAACGTGGCTCGCTGACTTTGGAGGTCGTGCATTACACGCCGCATTTCTGCAACGGCACCTCTCTTCAGCCAATTCATCCAAGCCTGCTATGTTTTCAAAGCTCCCACGCACCAGTGTCGAATCAGCCCATTGGGAAAAGCAAGTGCTTAGTCAATTCTCACAATCCCTCGTGTGGCTGTGCGTTGATGCCACGTACCAAACTTGCCAAAAACTCTCTTATGCCTCAGCACCTCGTGCAATAAGTAGATCCCATAATCCTCTCTCCTCCACCATGCGTATACTATCACTGGCCAGTGCCGCCTCCCTTCTTTCTCTTCTCCCGCACACCGCACACGCCTCCGTGCTCGCTATAGACTATGGCACGGACTGGATGAAGGCGTCGGTGATGAGCCCTGGCATCCCGTTCGACGTGCTGCTAAACAAGGACTCCAAACGGAAAATACAAGCCTCCGTGGGGTGGAAGAAAGACACTCGACTGTTCGGGGGAGATGCGTTTAATCTCGTGCGTCCGCCCGTTGTCCCTGCCCACGATCGGACTGACTGACGCACCCCCGCCAGGCGTCGCGCTTCCCCCTCGACTCGTTCTCTCTGATAAAACCTCTCCAGGGGGTCCCGTTCGACAGCGATGCGGTGGCCTTCTATGAGTCGATATCGACGACGGAAGTGCTCAAGACATCTCGGGGGACCGTCGGGTTCAGGCAGTCGGACGGCAACGAGTGGTCCGTTGAGGAGCTCGTGGGGATGCAGTTCGCATACGTGAAGCAACTCGCAGAGACGTTCACGGGGGATAAAGTCAGCGACGTGATCGTCACCGTCCCGCCGTACTTCTCGCAGTACCAGCGCGACGCGGTCGTCGACGCCATCGAGGTCTCGGGTCTGCGCACGCTGGCGCTGATCAACGACGGCACGGCGGTGGCCGTGACTACGCTATGACGCGCACGTTCCCCACCCCCGAAACGCACATCATCTACGATGCCGGCGCTTCCGGATCCGTGCTACCCTGGTCACGTTCTCCACCGTCAACAGCACTGCGGGGACGCAGATCACTGTGGGCGGCGTGGGCTACGATCTGTCTACTGGCGGAGCAGAGCTCGACCCGCCGTCTGCGGGAGATCCTCATCGAGACGTTCAACGCCAAGACGAAGAAGGACGTGCGGACCGACAGCGCGGCATGGCCAAGCTCTGGAAGGAAGCTGGTCGTGTCAAGTCTATCTTGAGCGCTAACACCGAGCCACCTCGACCGTGCGTTTCGTTACTCTTGTGCGTTATTGTTTACTGATGGGGTTGCAGATCGAGAGCCTGGCGTGGACATCGACTTCAAGACCAAGGTCTCTCGCGCGCAGTTCGAGGAGGCATCGAAGATCTTAAAGGTGTCTTTGCGGTCCCCATCGCGGACGCGCTAAAGAACGCTGACTGACTCTGGAATTGCTCCCGCTTTGTACTTCTCGTTTTCTGGACTG